GGGCGAGGAGCCTGCTCCGCTCTCCCTGGAGCGCTTGGACAAAGCGAGGGGTGAGCGGGCGGCCACCAGCGCGTCTCTGCACAGAAAATTCCCTCCCCGGCTCTGCATCCAGCCCTTTCGACAAGATTAAATCCTCCAGGGTGGAGAGGGAAAGGGTTCTGCAGCCTGGGGAAACCTGGCTCCCCTTCCCATTGCTCCTCAGCCTCTTTGCTGGCTGGAAAGAAAAGGGTAAAAAATGGGGGGGAGGAGTAGAAATGTGAGGCAGAGCTCTTCCAGGGCTCTCCTCACTTTGGGTTCAAAAATGTGCATTTATGACTCCGTGACTGTGTTCATCCAGCCCTAGATTAACCCTTCTGCAGGCACAGGGGCAGGGGATGAGCTGTGAGCAGGATTTGGGCAGGGGAAGAGGAGCCGGAGATGCTACAGGAGTCCTTTGAGGCTCCATCCACAGAATTTCCGAGCAGATTTTCCCCAAATTCCTGCTCTTCAGCTGGGAAAAACCACCCCAGCAACTCCAGGTTTTATAAACCAAGATGGTTCGACGCAGCACAGGTTACTCAACAGCCAGAGCGCTGCAGTTTATTACTTTCAGATGTTTCTATACATGTGGGAGCGATCAGTCGGGGAAAGGAAGAGGAAAAAAAGCTAAAGCTGTGGCTAAAGCATCCCCTCCTCCTAGGCTGGAGCAGGGATGGGGGAGTATTTCAGATGACGAGAGGTTTCTGTGAGTCACCAACAAAACCCAAGGTTTGGGTTCGGCTCTGGAGATACTGTGGGAAGGAGCCTGGATCGACTCTCTTCCTCCATGGAGGAGCTCCAAGGGAAAGGAGGAATTCCTACAGCGGGCTTTTCACAAATCGCTTTTATTTAGAGGTGAGAAAACCACACGTGAACAAGACACGAACAAGATGAGGCGACACGGGGCACAGAGCACAGTCTTTGGAGAAGGGACTCGTACACACAGACACACAATTTTCCTTTAGGAAACAGCAGCGCGTGGCAGGAGGTGACCCCGTCGGATCTGTAAAGCTCGGTTTAAGCCTCCCAAACACCCAAGAGCAAAGCTCAGAGCTAACACACAAGTGCTGTCCTGTGGGTTTTGGCTCCTGGGGGTGTGGCTGGACTGGGGCGAACGACGGGGGCAGGTTCAGGCAAGATAATTGGTGGTTTCGGGTCATGCAGCGCCAGGTGCGTTATCACGCACCAGTGCTGAGCTTTCCTTGGAAATTGCGACCCATAAAAGTTAGATTTTGGACTTTAGTTGAAGATCTAAGGCCTAGATTTTCCCCAGCCAGTTCAAACCAGCGCGTGACTGTGGCCAGACGCCTCCGAACGCCTCTTCTCTCCCCTGCCCTGCTGCATCCAAGAGAAAAGGCAACAGCGGGAAGGAAGAGAAACATCGAGGAGGTGGAGAACACCAGCACAGAGCTGCTCGCTCTCTCCTGCTCCAAGCCCTGCCAGGGGCTCCCCCTTTCACTGAAGACCCCACTGAACGCAACACCACGCCGATCAAAGTTTTCGGAGTCCTGGGATGGTCTCGCTGCACGAGGAGTCGGGAGGCTCGCTCTGAACCGCCCCAGTATGGTATTTCCCAGCCTACTGGTGCTACCAACGGGACCTACAGCCCCTCCGAGAGCTCCCTGACCGTGAGCTACACGTAGAAGACACTCCGTGTAGCACTTGGGTTTTGTTGGGTTTTGTTTTTTTTTTCCAGAACGTGTCTCGCTTGCACAGAAGGCGACCAGGTAATTCAAGAGCAGGCAACACCCACCCTGGGTCTGACCTGAAGTATCTGAGAAGCGAAGCCGGCAACCATCCGGCCTCCCGAGCTGCATCTTCTGCCGAGCCTTGCGATTTTCTGCTGTGAAAGTTTCCACCGGTCCTCAGTCCAACAACTGGAACAAAACCCAGAGAGATTTCTAAAATAATCAGAAGCACCAGCGTAAAGCCAGCATCCTATCCGTCGGGCCGGCCTCCTCGGCTTTATCTGCTTTTACACAGCAGCGCTGCAGGCTGTGGCAAAACAAGGCAGCGAAAAGCTGCTAGTTCGGGAGGGATTTTCTAGCTGTGCCCCATTTTTTACGAGTCAAAGAGAGTATTTCTCCACTCTGCAGCTACTTTCACCACGGGCTGCGCTATCCCGCACCGAAATACCATTTATCTCTGCCTGGAGCTCCCTGGACAGGGAGAAGAAACCGCAGTAGGAGCACAAAGATGTGTCAGGCAAAAGTCCGGTCGACGAAGCCGAAAGGAATTCCCTCTCCACCCACCCACCCGCGATTTCTGCCGTCCCTGTAGTCACCTTTTTTTCCTTTTCTGGGCTAGACAAGTTCCTGACTGGCTGCATAATCTGTGCAAGCGGGGACTGAGAGCTTGACAACGGAGCAAAACGCCACATTAAACAGGCTGTTGAAATATTTATTGGTTGGTTTTTTTTTTTTCTTCCACTCACTTCTCAAATGTTAACAACAAAATATAATTCTGGGGAGCCCACAGGATTCAGAAACAGTCATTCGTTTTCCGATGGCGCTTCTACAGAATACAAAATCGTTTTTTCTTCCGCTTTTCGCGGAGGTTTGTTTCGCGTCGGTGGTTTTTATTTCGTTTTTCTCTCGCAAACTGTAAAAGCAAAGGAAAGGGATAACATGAGAGGCAAACGCGAGGAGTTACCGCCGAAAGCCAGATCCTCCGAGTTACTTCAGCACGGAGGAATGTGACTCGACCGAGATCATTCATGAGGATGACAACAGGCACATGCTTAACTATCCTGTGAGGCGAGACTCTGGACACACGCTGGGATTTCAGTCTCTAACAACTGGAGTCGTCTGGGAAAGACCAGGAATTTGGCCAATCTTCAGGGGACAGCTGGGGAAAAGTGCTATTTTTGCATCTCAACTACTGAAGATCCATTTCGTCCATCGGGCGACTAAACCAGGGCTGGGCGTTACGTCAAGGTCCCAAGGAAACGACTGCAAGAATGACTTACGGAGGGAAGCGCCAAGAGCCAGCAACTGCGTTTTTGAACACCTGAGGGCCATTGCGAAAGCGCCAGGAGGGAGGAGAGCTCTCTGGAATGAGGTTTTTCTTGTCTTGAATTCAGGTGTTTCCCACCCCAATGCATCGTGGAGGAGACTTGGAGCAAGCGGGCTCACACGCGAGTGAAGTGGCGGAGGGAAGCAGCTCTCGGTTGGGGGGGAAAGTTGAAGTCAAATCAGGCTTTGCCACCTCTTTGCCGTCTCCCTTCGCCCCACTTGAACCTACAAGCGCCAAGAATTGGCGGTGGCTCTCGCCACGATGCGCATGGCAGCTCCCAATCCAGGCCAAGAGCAGAATGTCGGCACAACAGCGTCGGGACACTGCTTTTATCATAGGGGTTACGGACACAAGGCAATAAAAAATAATAAAAAAAAATTTCAGACACCCACTGGCAAAATATTGAGGAAAACTGCTCCACAAGGTGTCTGCTCTTATGTTCAAAGGTGATTCTTAGGTGAAAGTGATCTGATGTGGAGGATTTGACTGTGAAGAAAAGCTCGCCGCGTGACTACTGCATTTACACGGGAACATGGAAGGCAGGTGGCGAAATGATCTTGGAAGCGGCAGCGAAAACAAGGTCTTTCCTCCAATACCGGGGGGAGCGTAACTCGCCATCAGCTGCCCCCACCTCTGCAGCAACCTCAGCAGGACTGACTCCAAACTCTACTGCACGTTTCGCCTGTTTTTTAATTCCTTAATCCAAAAGGCGCCGATCTCTTCTACAAGAAGGGAAGCACAAACACACCCCAGGGGCAGAGAATGGCCAAACAAGTTGCCCGTTGACCGGGTTATTGCTGCAGCTCTTGGGTCTTCCCCATAAACACAGGTCCGGAGTCTCCTGCCTGTTACGTGTCTGCAGCAGACGGAGTTACCCGGGTTATTTTTCTCCGTGAGATCTCGAAACAAGCACTAAAAAAGCTGCAAGACCCTTAAGTGTAGCTCACGGTCCCCTCTTGCCTTTTTTACAGTCCTGTCCGACTTTGTCGAGGAAAGCAGCGTCTCGGCTCTTCCCGCAGCTTAACCCGTTCGGATGGCATCGGTGAGACGAAACCTGAGCTCCCGACGAAGACGATTCCTCGTCTGCTTTAGGGGAAAGAAACGTGTATATATATAAAAAAAAAATAAAAAAAAGTAAACCTAAGGGGCACTTTAAAGACGATTCGACGAGTCCACAGAGGAATCCTGAAGCCTTTGGCTATGTTGCGATGCCCTCGGTAGATCTGGACTGCCAACAGATGGGTCCAAGAAAGCCTGAGAATCGACGGG